GTTCTTCACAAATCCATGCTGGCTGTTCCCTATCACCTTACCGCCTTCCAAGTGTTTGCAGATGATTTCCTTAATTACTTGCTCCATTATCTTCCCTGGCACAGAAGTTAAACTAACTGGTTTGTCGTTTCCTGTGTTGTTTTTATTTCCCTTTTTATAGATGGGCATTATATTTGCCCTTTTCCAGTCTTCTGGAATCTCTACCGTCTCCCATGATTTTCCAAAGATAATAGCTAGAGGCTCAGATACCTCCTCTATTAGCTCCTATTATGACAGAGAGCGTTTGCTAAAAATTGTTTAAGAACTTATGGCCTGTTAAAGACAAGTCTCTGTACAAGGAGGAGGGGGCTGCAAAGAGAAATTAAAATCTGATAGTGAAGAAGCAGTAATCTACATTTATCAAGAATAAATGTTTCCTTTTAACTAATACATTCAATTATCTTTATTGTCATCCATAAAAAAATAAAACCATAAAAGATACTTAATGAGATTTAAAGGTGCTAGCCTTAATCTCAATTTCATCAATACTAAATTAAGTCATTCCTCACTTTAGCATAATTAAACAAGGCAAATATCACTAAGATGCATTGACAATATTTTTACTTCCTAATATTGTGAACAATATATATTATAAGCTTTAGCAAACATCCAATTTTATGTTCACAAATTCTACTCATTTATATTTGTGTTGAGCCCAATCCTATGCTCATTGCAGTCAAAGGAAAGACTCCCATTGACTTTAGTGGCCATTGAATTAGGTCCCATCATTTAAGAATCCATCGTTATAGCTTCCTGACAGCAAGATCTATTAGGCTGTAGAATATTCTCCCAAGGGAAGTGGTGAAATATTTAAAACTAGACTGGACAAAGCAATTGAAGATATAATGTATGGAACAATCATAGAATCATAGGACTGGAAGGGACCTCGAGAGGTCATTTAGTCCAGTCCCCTGCACTCATGGCAGGACTAAGTATTATCTAGACTATCCCTGACTGGTGTTTGTCTAACCTGCTCTTAAAAATATCCAATGACGGAAATTCCACAACCTCCTTGGGCAATTTATTCCAGTGCTTAACCACCCTGACAGTTAGAAGTTTTTCCTAATGTCCAACTTTTGCAAGTGTTACACTGTTGACTCATATTTAGCTTGTGATCCACTATGACCCCCAGATCCCTTTCTGCAACACTCCTTCCTAGACAGTCACTTCCCATTTTGTATGTGTGCAACTGATTGTTCCTTCCTAAGTGGTGTAATTTGCATTTGTCCTTATTGAATTTCATACTACTTACTTAAGACCATTTCTCCAGTTTGTCCAGCTCATTTTGAGTATTAATCCTATCCTCCAAAGCACTTGCAACCCCTCCCAGCTTGATATCATCCACAAACTTTGTAATGTACTCTCTATGCTATTATCTAAATCATTGATGAAGATATTGAACAGAACTGGACAAGAACTGATCCCTTTGGGTTTCCACTTGATATGCCCTTCCAGCTTGACTGTGAACCACTGATAACTACTCTCTGGAAACCATTTTCCAACCAGTTATGCACCCACCTTATAGTAGCTCCATCTAGGTTGTATTTCCCTAGTTTGTTTATAAGAAGGTCAAGTGATACAGTATCAAAAGCCTGACTAAAGTCAAGATATACCACATCTACCGCTTCCCCCTATCCACAAGGCTTGTTACTCTGTCAAAGAAAGCTTTCAAGTTTGTTTGACACAATTTGTTCTTGACAAATCCGTGCTCACTGTTATTTATAACGTTATTATCCTTCATTGGCCTAGATGAACTAACACATCCTTTTCATTATAATTATTATTTAATTATCCAAATGTGTGCTAGGCAACTCCTGAAACAAACATAAGACATGATTGCTATCCAGAGAAATTTTGCAAACAATGATGGACATGATATATGAGGAGGTAATAAAATGGAAGGGTTGGGAGAGAGAACAGGAGGCATATTATTGAAGCAAAAGAGCCTAGCATACAGTCCTTGGGTTACCTGAGAGGGAAAATTAAGGCAGGGCACCACAGAGCCACCCCAGACCATGAGGAAGCACTCAGGAGACAGCTGGTCCTGCTACAATGGGGGAGACGGGTAGTTAATAAAAAAAATGTAAACCTCAAATTAGTTCCAAGTTTTGGGACTGTTTGAAAAGAAGGGGAAGGAGAATTGCCCTTATGATATTGAAATCTGATCCCTTGTATTTAGTAATATACCAGTTTTCCAATAACAGTAATCCTATTATGAAAGAGTTTCCTTTATAATCAGCCTCTTTACAATCATATATATAGGACTGTTTCATTTAATAGCACAACTATCAAGTAGGGAAGTATTACTAATATATCAGAAAAAAAATTAATGGTCTACACACACTGGAGGGAGAGAACATCTGTTGCTGGGTGATGATTAATTTATTCAGGAAAAAATTGCAGGTTTTTAAAATTCCTTCTTACCCTTTCATAGAACCAGAGGTTGGCTAGCTTCAGTAGCTACAGCTGCTACAGAAAATATAGAGAATATCCCTTCTGTATCTCAAACAGTGATTATACTATCAGAAAGAATTAAACCTCAAATGCTTCATGTCTTTCAAACCTAAAAGGTGTTCTTTACAAACTACTGTGCCAGTTTTTATAGGTGTATGTCCATAACCAAGAGGAAATTTTTACTATCTTTAGAAACTTATGAGTCAGCTAGTTAAATGTTACAGTTATAGGGCCAGATCCGGAGCTGGTATAAATTGGTATAGCTCTATTGACTACAATGGAGCAATGCTTATTTACACCAACTGGGTATCTGGCACATAATGTTATGACCAACAACAGCGAAATGGCTTTCTATGCCCTTAGCAGCAGGAGACATTTAAAGAGTGACAGTTGTTCCACATTCTGTTGGCAGATTTAGATTTGTGAATATCTATTAATTTGCATACTGCATGTTGCCTTACACTATAGCTGCTTGAAAGTGATCTTCTGCACAACAAATCTTACCGTCGTTTTCTTGAGCTTATTTTTCTGATTTAATTAAGGCATGTATTTAAATTTAGTAGTATATGAATAATACAGAAAATATAGGTGGCAGTACTTACCTATGATCTAAATGATGAATAGAAAGAATAACACCTGAATTTAAATGGGCTTGTTTTAGAGTCACCAAAACTGTGAATTCATATTTATTTCTTAACTTCTGAAAAAAGACTTCAGCTGTCTCTGGGGATGCTTTTACATTTCTTGAAGTATCTAAAAAAGAAACAGAAAATCATTGAGAATAGACTCTGGTTTTAAATAGCACTCTAAATCCACAGAGCTTACAAAATAATGAGTTACATATTAGTAGTACAGTGACAAATGGGCAAGAACAGCCATCATATTATGGTCAATAATAGCTTACACACAGCTCTGGACAGCAGAGCCTGTTTTAATGAAAGAGGATATATTTTCTAGGACACAAGTGCTATCCCCTGGTCTTTTTAAGACAGTACCCTAGGCTCTTTTACTTCTCCATAGATGGACAGATGGTTCCTTTAATATCTCATCCAAAGTATGGCGCCTCTAACAATGCAGCTCTCCTGCACTTTACCACAAAAAAAGTGTTGACACTGGATATGAGCCTAAGCTGTCTTGTGAGACCTGAACCCTGATCTTATGGCTTCTACAAAAATGAGCTTGCATGGTATCAAAGGACAATTAATTTTGTTTTAAAAAAGCAGCTCTTTGCAGAAGGTTTACTCAATTTAAAAGGTTTACTATCAATGGATTAAAACAGAACTTTCTAAACCTTTGAATATAAAATTTGTAAAGATCACCAAAATTAGTGTTCTCAAAAAGAACAGGAGTACTTGTGGCACCTTAGAGACTAACAAATTTATTAGAGCATAAGCTTTCATGGGCTACAACCCACTTCTTCGGATGCATATAGAGTGAAACATATATCCATATCCACTCTATATGCATCCGAAGAAGTCGGTTGTAGCCCACGAAAGCTTATGCGCTAATAAATTTGTTAGTCTCTAAGGTGCCACAAGTACTCCTGTTCTTTTTGAAGATACAGACTAACACGGCTGCTACCCTAAAATTAGTGTTGGGCATTTTGCTGATGTGCACACACTTGTGAGTGTATGCTTGCCAGAGACTAACTGTAAAAATGAAATTGTTAAGAATCCAAACACAAACAACAACTGTACAGTGTGGAGTAGATCATCATTCTAATTTGCACATAACGTTAGCAGAGTACAAAGAGCCCAACTTTGAGTCCCACAGAGCCAAGATGTCACACGATCAAAATGAGGAAACAATTCCCAGGTTTTTCATGTATAATGCATTATACTAGGGAAATATTTAAGATATGTATTTTATATAAAGAATAAATTCATCAGCGTGTGCAATCAACCATGTCAAATCTAAATCAATTCATAAGCTTCCTGTCTTTGTGTTTTGACCAACCAGCACTAATGCAATGACATCAGCAGTAGACGACCAACTGGAATGTAAATGCTGACTTTTCAGTTGGCAATACTGGAAGCTTACAACAAGCTTACCTCATTATTCTGGAAACATGTTTTTAAGCTTTAAGAGGTACCTATAAAAGTTGTACTCTGCATCCCTAAGCAAACATGTTTATTAGTTTGAAAATAAATATTTTGTAAATGTGGATAGAGGAGATGCAGAAATTTATAACCCACAGAAATCTGAGACAAACTTATCCAGGTTTTTACACCAAGGCTAAAATTTGATCTGTTTTTCTTTAACATGGTGGCTCCAAGAGACAGAAAGTTTCCTTTAAAATGCCTTTTTTATGATTTCTTGTCTTTTCTATTGTGGCTTATATAACACCCTGTATGTAGCAGACATCCATGGTATTTTAATGAAACTATTAATAAATTATGAAGCAGCTCAAATGAAATTACATCAAAATGTTCATTTTTAGCCATGGGACACTAGCAAAATGGAGTGACATAGGTTTGCATGCTACAAGATGGTTTAACTGCATTAACAGTTTCTAGCAATATAAACAATTTATTTCCAACAGATAGATTGGGGAAAAGGAAAGACACACATGGGAAATTTTCTCCATCCACTATCACGAATTCTTAATGCACACAAAATTCCTACTGAATGCACTGGGAGTGGAGGGTACACAAGAAATGCAGGATAAGACTGAAGAACTAAAAACAAAACCCCAGCCTAAGGTTAAACCAACAGAATCATCTATCAAGATGCAGAAAAATACAAACAGTGAGAGTTTTCAGAAGGGGAAAGCATCCACCACCCTATCTGCAGTTAATGGCAGTTGTGAGTTCTCAGAAGCTCTGACAGTCAGGCCAGTGGTTTTTATGCTTAGGGGTCCATTATTTTAGCATTAACATTGCAAATATATTCCAATCAGGACCGGGGCCTATTTAGTGCCACATGCCATACAGACACATTTTGTTCTGTGTTTCTCTAATGCCGAGCACAATGGGATCCTGGTCCACGACTGGAGTTCCTAAGCAATACAAATAATAAACAAGAATCTCTGACCTGAAAAGCTTACAAGAAGTCTCAAAGTAGTGGAGTAAGCTGCAACTCAGTGTGGGTGGCAGAAGCAAGCAAGACCTGAGTGAGTTCAGACCAGAGAAAAATTGTTCTATTAACCTGGAGTGGATGGAAATTGTCTTTGGTATCTAAATTTAATTTATTAAACCAACTGTAGTAATGTTGCTTGTCTCTTGCCTCTAGCACTTCTATAGACTTCCTGCAAGGTTTATGGGCCTGGTTTTGCTCACTGGAAATTTTGCTATTAACTTCAATGGAAGTATGATCAGTCACTCTAAATCTGAATTGATATTTTTGTATATAATAATAAGGTATAGAACAACATGCAATCCTAGTATGATGCTTGTGCAGTCCAATATTAACTATGGTTGACTGACAGTGTTCCAGGCCTTCCCGTATTGCTCTGTTTTAGACAGGGGTTGCACTGTGGTCTATTGTTGCATCGGGATGTTTGAATGCACAATAACTAGTAAAATCTATTAGTGTAAATTGGCATTATACACATAAATACTTCATGCAGGGAGGGGAGAATAGTTTATACAGTTGACATTTCAAAAAAACAAAACTTTTATTAAAAGAAAGAAAAATATTGGTGAAATCAATATAATGTGCACATTAGGAGAGAATATATTATGGATGGGGAAACCTATTTTGAGACCAAAACTCCAAGTGTTATATGTGCACATTTATACACACAACTGATTGCCTCCACACATGTAGCTGCACACACCCATTGCTCCAGATGATCAGGCCTTTTGTAAATAAACAAACCATGGGCATTGAGTGTAACTGCCTGCTCCCATGCTTTGATCACATGCCCTTCCACCCTGGATGTGCAACCTATGTTGGGAGGTTAAGGCACAGAGCACACATAAACAGCTCTATGCCAACCAGTGGGGGAATCCTCAGTTGCCTATTTAAGGCAGAGGTACCACTCCTGTGTGTGCTACCCAAGTAGGGCAAAGGGACTCTAGTGTGAGTCAGTTTCTGGCCTCCTTATATTTGCAAAACATGATTCAGGCACATTACTGAAAAAGAGTTACACCCAGTCTCTATAGGCTTTCATCACAGCTTTATACTTGAATCTCAAATATAGACAAAGGAATTCTCCGCTGGACCTTTGTGCTATTGCACACTTTTTGACCTTATTAGGACACTCTGAATACCAACATGTTACAGTGACAAAACTCAAATTTAACTCCCAGAATATGAAACTGCCAATCTCCTGGTCACCAAACACCATTACTCCGGGCAGGTCTGTTTGTGCTGATTACACTGGAGAAAGTGCCTGTTCTTTTGAAAGTAATATATAAGTAATGAAGTCTCACAAAACACAGTGTAGGCTTAGTAATGCAGGGGTCAAGAAGGCCTGCCATTCCATGGACAATATGGCAAAATTGGCCAGTGGAGTTTTCATAGTGCTCCTAAGAGAGTCAGGATATTGGACCCAATTGCACCAGTGCTCTAATAGAATAAGGCAAATCTTTTATTTAGATTACCCTTAAAATGTGAAAGTCAGTACTTGATAGATTACTTTGTCAGGTATCAAAATTAACTGTGTACCAACATTTATTCAACATGACAAGTACATTTTTATGAATTAATGAAAACCCCTTATTATTTGCACCTTTTCAGACGTTCACAATCCCCAAATGTCTTAGAGCAGTGGTTTTCAACCCATAGTCCACAGACCCCTGGATGTCCACAGACTATGTCTAAGATCTCCAAAAGGGTCCGTATCTCCATTCAAAAATGTTTAGGGATCTGCAAATGAAAAAGTTTGAAAACCACTGTCCATTGAAAACCATAGAAGAATGAACTCTCTGGTGTAATCCAGATTAATAATTTGTGATGTCATGTAATTTACATAGGAGATTTATGCTGCACACATTTTTAGTGTAGTTCACAAAAATCTACTTAAAGCAGAGGTATAAATCATTGGAGTCTAGGGCCCCAAAGTATGTAAATTGTAAGAGCTATCAGTTTGTATGAGAAAATTGTTTCAGATAGAGATACCTGAATAGAGGACTTAACTTTATTATAATACTACAAATGCATTTGAGAGAGATTTGAACCCCTCATAACAATTCATAAATCCATATGTGTTATTAACACTCAGTTTTCAATTTCTACAAGAATAAACTCTATAGTGACAATGAAAAAAAAAAGGATTCAATTTCATAGTCTGCTACATGTCTCAGATTGTTCCATTTAGTGGCTACAGCATGAAAATGTCCTGTAGTAAAGGTAACAATGCCCATGGAGAAAGATCTATTACTAGAGTTGAGAAAGCCCAGTTGTCAAAAGTACCGAAAAATGATGCAGTTAGCAGAGATTTTTTTTTAATAAGCAATATTAATCCTGGTCAATAAACAAGGCTGGCTCTAGGATTTTTGCCGCCCCAAGCAAAAAAAAATTTGGCGGCCCCCCCTTTTTTTTGTGCTCCCCTGCCCCCGGACCCGCCCCAACTTCACCCCTTCCCCAAATCCCCAGTTCCGCCTCCTCCCCCTGGTGTGCTGCATTTCTCCCCCCACCCCATTGCTTCCTTCAGGCCCCCCGCGACCTCCCACCCTAGCTCATCTCCGCTCCGCCTGCTCCCCCGGGCACGCTGCCACTCCGCTTCTCCCCACTCCCTCTCAGGCGAGGGAGGGGGGAGAAGCGGAGCAGCGGCGCATTCAGGGGAGCAGGCGGAGCGGAGGTGAGCT